TCTAAAACCTCCAGTGGATAAGCGAGCAACCCTTTTCATCCAAGGATAAAGGTAGCTTTGCAAACAGAAGGATAGGGCTCCTGCATCGTTGAGCTTTGCCTTTTGGTCGCCTCTCCTTCTCTTCATGTGGCCATACTACGTAGGGAAGGCCAGCAATAAAAGCCTTTCTAAAAATCTGGGTTTTGTTATTATGTCTTATTTCTCACGTACGGCCATCCTGGCAGACTCTCCGAGGCACACGAGAGATTCAAGGGATGGTTTTCCCACTGCCCATCCACACCCTTCCTGTGGACCATGCGGTGTCTGACTCACTCATTTTACTCTCCCTTTCCGCACCCTTCCTGTGGGCCATGCGGTGTCTATCTGACTCACTCATTTTACTCTCCCTTTCCTCCAAGATGCGGAGAGCATCTCCCCCTCTGTCGCCCTCGCGTCGTCGCCTGTTCAGGCAGCAGAGGAGACTGGCCCTGTTGGTTTTGGGTGGAAGATCTCGCCATGCAAAGTCCCACCATTTTGCACTAAAAGCAGGAGAGGCCGGGTCAAGATCTGCGAGTGAAGCAACAGCTCGGGGCGTTTCAAGAGAGGTTGGGGGATGGGGCTGCCCGGACAGCAGCCACGGCTCCTCATGGCCAGCGGCTGTTCGGTGGCCCAGCCTCCGAAGTCAGGGTAGGCAACTCACATCCTTCATCAGGACTTGATGGGAGAGCTTTGGTGGCATCTCGATGCGGCTGGAGGAGGTATGGGAGGTATTGGGAGCCCAGGAGGACCAAAGAGGACCAACCGGGCTTTGGCATTGGGTTCGATGAGATGGTTTTGGGGATCCGTCCTGCACTCGTCTTCTCTCCCAACACAGAGGCTGCTTCCTCTTCTAGGCATGGCCCTGGAGCTCATGATCCTCACCAGAAGCTCCTCCTGCACAACCCACCACCCAAATTATTATAGTTATTGCTATTGTTTTAAAATTATTATTATTATTATTATTATTATTATTATTATTATTATTATTATTATTATTATTATTATTATTATTATTATTATTATTATTATTATTAT